TTCAAGTTTTGTGCAAAAACGCATGATCGCTCCGGCTTGCCTGGTGCGTTCCAGCCTACGTTAATTGAATAAACAAATTAATAAAAACATCTGTTTTTACGTGTTTTTGCATCTTATGCAAATGCAATACGTGTAACTTCCAGAGAATGCCTGAATGTGTACATGTATGTTCAGAATCGAGTAAACTTTGTCACTCACTTTAAATTCATCAAGAAGGAGAGGCATGATGTAGCACTACCGTACCAACCGACGCCCTTTTCGTTCGCATGCAAAAGAAGACCAAAACAAATGCGCATGAGTTGCACTTGTTAAACTGTGAAGCAGTAACCATTCATGTTATTGACGATCTGACTGCGTTAAATTTAGCGCAAAAACACATCATCCCACGGGCAAACTTGATTTATTACTTGGGTTTTATTAAAAGATGGCTCGCGAGCTTAGGTAAGTATGTAGATCAGGCCCGCATGTCGCCAAAGGTTGCCCGTGCCTGGTCTAGACAATTCCGGGATACTATATTATTCAGAGTATCACCTGGGCTGTCAGTACTGGACCCTTTACTGCGCTGCTGTAGTGAAATCTCCTTTTTATGCGTTTTTTGCATCTATGCAATGCAAAAGATAGTTATCGTAATAGTATCGTAATAGTTATTAAATGGTAATATCACATTTTACTGTGAACCGCCAGAAAAAACTGTTTTTATGTTTGAAATTTTCTAAAAACATTTTCACGGGAAAATTTTTGCCGACATCCAACACAAGATCAAATAAAAGTGCATCGGAGCATTAATGAAAAAATTTTAGTAAAAAGGCACAAAATGAATACATGAGAAATAACTACAAAATGAAATGGGTACAAATAATAAAGTAGTGAGTTGTTGCAATAGTCTGCGCAGATGAGGGAGGAGAAAGAAAAGACAGTTCCTCTCCTTACGTCAAATCTCCAGCCGCATTAAATTCTGACAGTTCTATTTTTGTGAGGGTGACAAGTCGTACTAGTTATGCTTTATTATTTCCCCCAAGAGGCTTTCGACCAATGAGAACCATCAAAGTATGAAAAATAAGTGAAAGGATATTTGAAAAAGGATTTTTCCTGTGTGAAGAAAATTTTCAGCAAAAATTTTCTAGATGCTGTTGCATCAACAGCACTTACAACGCAAGAAGTCAGTTTAGGCTATTGGTGAAGGGCAAATTATTCTATCGAGCTGCAATAAATTTTCATTACATTTTGGACAAAAAAAGCGCCACTTTGTTGGTGGACATGGCACAGCCACTAATACTACTCTCATACACTAAAGACTGCAGTTTCGGCTTGATCAGTACGACAACCGGTCTTTCTATGATTTGCTCATTCGCTCCGCTGGAAAATTGATACTGCTCTGCTGCAAAGAATTAAAATGGCATCAGCTAACTGAAAATAGCCTTCGGAGGAGAGCCATCAAAGCCTAGCCAAAGAGTAGTGTTATTGCTGAAAAAATAATTAAAACTCCCCCTTTATAACAAAAACAATCTAACTAGTTCAGCGACCGTTTATTCTGTAATCCAGTTTGAAAAGCAGCAACATTTTACCTACAGAATAACTCAAAATTAGGAGAACAAGCTCTTCCCTCCCCACCCCCCCC